GATGTTGCAATAACCCTCCCTCCACGCTCCCTCTTCGCATGTCTCTACAAGGAAGTCTGTTCACTTCTGAACTGCTCCATTGGCAAACAACCTTTTGAGAAACCTCAAACGTACCAACGCACACGTCCTTGGACTTCAACACCGCGAGTCAATTTTCTGGTTGCGTCCTGACGGCCTTGGACCGCACCAGAACACCATTCGTAGGATTGCAGCACCGCGAATCAACGTGATTGTTGCTCCCTGACAGTCCCCAATCACGCCGGAACAACATTCCTGGGACGGCCAACCATAATGATTCGCCCTGTTCTTTACTTCTACAGCGCATGTGCGCGGCGTTCAAGCGATATTCACACTTTGAGAAAGAGTCGTTTTCCATGAGTGACACCACTACACACTTTTAGCACGAGTGTGCCTGGCGCAGTGGCGAAAATAGCAATTTGAAAAACAGCCGCCATCCATCCATGAAACTCTTGCAAACTGTCAAACAACGAGTTTGTGCGGCGCTCGGGCGACAGCAACATCGGGAAAAAGGAGCCACACACCATCCGTGAAGCTCCTGCGAACGTCTTCGACGAATGCACGCGGCGCTAAGGCGATAACAACATTTGAAAAACCAGCCGCGCTCCATCCGTGAAGCCTCTGCAAGCTTTTAACATGACTGTGTGTGGTGCAAATGCGAGAGCAACATCTGGAAAAACGAGCCACCCTCCATCCGTGAAGCTCTTGCAAACTGTCAAAACGAATTTGTGCGGCGCTAAGGCGACAACAACATGTGGAAAAGGATCCACCCACCATCGGTGAAGCTCCTGCGAAAGTCTACGACGAATGCACGCGGCGCTAAGGCGATAACAACATTTGAAAAACCAGCCGCCCTCCATCCGTGAAGCCTCTGCAAGTTTTAAACATGACTGTGTGTGTGGTGCAAATGCGAGAGCAACATCTGAAAACAACGAGCCACCCTCCGTCCGTGAAGCTCTTGCAAGCGATGAAAGCGAATGCGCGCGGCGCTTAAACAAGAAAACCACTTGGAAAAAACAGCGGCCCTCCATCCGTGAAGCTCCTGCAAACTGTTAGCACCAATTTACGGGGCGCTAAAGCGAGAGAAACATTTGAGAAAAGAGCCCCCCTTCCATCCGTCAAAACCCTGCAACAATTTACGACGAATGCGCACGACAATGCAGCGAGAACAACATGTCGAAATCAGCCCGCGCACCATCCGCGAAGTTCCTGCATTTTTTCCCAACCATCCTGTGGTGTTGGGTCCTCGTTTTGAAGAGACGGTGCCCCGCATTCCCCTCCTTCCTCCTCCCTCCTCCTCCGCCTCCTCCCCCCTCCCATCATCATCATCATCATCATCATCATCATCATCATCATCATCATCATCATCATCATCATCATCGTCATCATCGTCATCGTCATCATCATCATCATCATCATCATCATCATCATCACCATCACCATCACCATCACCATCACCATCATCATCATCATCATCATCATCATCATCATCATCATCATCATCATCATCATCATCATCATCATCATCATCATCATCATCATCGTCACCCACACCCATGTCGGCACACCCCTCACACGTTTCGTGGCCCCATAGGGAGCTCCACCGAAGGCCCCATGCTGCCGCCCGCATGCGTCCCCACACCCATTTCGGCACACCCCTCACACGTTTCGTGGCCCCATAGGGAGCTCCACCGAAGGCCCCAGTGCTGCCGCCCGCATGCGTCCCCACACCCATTTCGGCACACCCCTCACACGTTTCGTGGCCCCATAGGGAGCTCCACCGAAGGCCCCATGGCTGCCGCCCGCATGCGTCCCCACACCCATTTCGGCACACCCCTCACACGTTTCGTGGCCCCATAGGGAGCTCCACCGAAGGCCCCAGGGCTGCCGCCCGCATGCGTCCCCTACACCCATTTCGGCACACCCCTCACACGTTTCGTGGCCCCATAGGGAGCTCCACCGAAGGCCCCAGGGTTGCCGCCCGCATGCGTCCCCTACACCCATTTCGGCACATCCCTCACACGTTTCGTGGCCCCATAGGGAGCTCCACCGAAGGCCCCAGGGCTGCCGCCCGCATGCGTCCCCTACACCATTTCGGCACACCTCTTCGCACGCTTCGTGGCATAGGGAGCTCCACCGAAGGCCCCAGGGCTGCCGCCCGCATGCGTCTCCTACACTCATTTCGGCACACCCTCCACCGCTCCACCGAAGGTCCCAGTGCTGCCGCCCGCATGCGTCCCCTACACCCATGCCGGCACACCCCTCACACGCTTCGTGGCTCCATAGGGAGATCCACCGAAGGCCCCAGTGCTGCCGCCCGCATGCGTCCCGTACACCCATTTCGGCACACCCCTCACACGTTTCATGGCCCCATAGGGAGCTCCACCGAAGGCCCCAGTGCTGCCGCCCGCATGCGTCCCCTACATCAATTTCGGCACACCCTTCGCACGCTTCGTGGCCCCATAGGGAGCTCCACCGAAGGCCCCAGGGCTGCCGCCCGCATGCGTCCCCTACACCCATTTCGGCACACCCCTCACGCGTTTTGTGGCCCCATAGGGAGCTCCACCGAAGGCCCCAGTGCTGCCGCCCGCATGCGTCCCCTACACCCATTTCGGCACACCCCTCACACGCTTCGTGGCCCCATAAGGTGTGCCGCCGAAGAAGATACTCACAATGGCGGGACCCACGACTGCATATGGTTGGGTCCTTCGCCAGGCTAATTTGAACGGTTGTGCGCGGCGCCATGGCAAGAATAACGTGTGGAAAACCAACCGACCTCCATCCGAAAAACGCATGCAAACTTTTGGCACGAATTGGTGCGGCGCTGAAGGCGGGATCAACATTTGGAAAAGGAGCGGCCCTTCATCCGTGAGGCTCTTGCAAACGTTTAAAACGAATGCACGCGGCACAAAAACGAGAACGACATGTGGAAAACCAGCTGTCCTCCATCCGTGCAGCTCCTGAAAGCGGCTAGCACGAATGTACGCGGCGCTGAGGCGAGAGAAACATTTGAAAAATGAACCGCCCCTCCATCCGTGAAAACACTGCCAAACCGCAGAACGAGTGCGCGCGGCGGTGAGGCGAGAGCAACGTTTCGAACAGGAACCACCCTCCATCCGTGAAGCTCCCGCAAGCAGATAATACGAGTTTACGCGGCGCTAAGGCCAGAGAAACATTTGAGAAAAAAAACGCCCCCCATCGGCGAAATCCATGCAACACTTGAGAACACATGCGGATGGCGCTGGGGCAAGACTCACAATTTGAAAACCAACCGGCCTCCACCCGTGAAACGCTTGCACGATGTAAAAACGAATTGGCGCGGCGCTGACATGCGGCGCTAAAGCGAGAACTATATAAAAAAAACGGCCCGCCCACCATCCGTGAAACTCGTGCACACGTTTAAAACAAAATGGGCGCGGTCCTCCACCCGTCCTCCACCCGTGACGTTCCTGCAAGTGTTTCAGACGAATGCGCGCGGCGATGGAGCGATAATAACATTTGGCAAACCAACTGCCGTCCACCCGTGACGTTCTTGCAAACTTTGAATACGAATTTGCGCGGCGCAGAGGTGAAAGCAACATAAGGAAGAACAAAAATGAACCACCCTCCATCCGTGAATCTCCTGCGAACGTCTTCGGCGAATGCACGCCGCGCCAAGGCGAGAGAAACATTTCGAACAGGAGATGCCCTCCATGCGTGAAGTTCTTGCAAACTGCTAACACGAATGTACGCTGCGCTAATGCGAGAGAAACACTTGAGAAAATAACCACCGTCCATCCGTGAAGACCCTGCAAAGGTGTAAGACGAATGCACGCGGCGATCAAGCGATAACGACATTTGGGAAACAGTCCGCCCTCCATCCGTGAAGCTCCTGCCTGCCAACTTTTAATACGAATGTGCGCGGCGCAAAAGCTAGAACAACATGTGGGAAACCAGCCGCCCTACATCAGGGAAACTCTTGCGGATTATCAAAAGGAATTTGAACGGCGCCAAAGCGAAAACAACATTTGGAAAACCGGCCGCCCTCCACCCGTAAAGTTCCAGCAATCGTCTAAGGGAAATACACGCGGCGCTAGGGCGAGAACGACATTTGGAAAACCAGCCGCCCTCCATCCGCGAAGCTCCTGCAAACGTTGAAAGCGAATGCGCGCGGCGCTAAAGTGAGGAAAAGAAACCGCCTTCCGTCCGTGAAACGCCCGCAAGCAATAAACACAAATTTACGCGGCGCTAAGGCGGGAGACACATTTGAGAAAAGAGCCACCCTCCATCCGTGAAAACCCTGCGGAGGTTTAGAACGAATGCGCGCGGCGTTGGAGAAAAAAACAACATTTTGAAAACCTGCCGACCTCCACCCGTGAAACTCTTGCACACACATTCAATCGAACTGGTGCGGCGCTGAAAACGAGAACAACATTTGGAAAAAATGAGCCGCCCTCAATCCGTGAAATTCCTGCAAACGTCTAAGACGAATGCACGCGGCGCTAAGGCGTGAACAACACGTGCAAAACCAGCCGCTCACCATCTGTGAACCCCTTGCAAATGTTTAAATCGAATGGGCGCGGCGGTGAAGGCGAAAACTACACTTGGAAAACCACCCGCCCTCTATCCGAGAAGCCTGCGAACTTTTGAAACGAATTTGCGCGGAGCCAAGGCGAGAGGCGCAGTTGGAAAACGTCCAGCCCTCCATGCGTGAAGCTGCTGCTGTTGTTTAAGATTCAGGCTCACAAGTTGCGAAAACGTCTCAGACGAAACGCCTGGCCCGCCCTAATGACACGTCCCGGGGCACGACATGGAGGAGGTATTCATGAGAAAGAGGGACGGAGAAGTAGGAGAAAGGGTTGGACCAGCAGCAGCAGCAGCAGCAGCTGCAATGCTGGAGGAGGAGGATGAGGAGGAGGAGGAGGGGTTGGACCAGCAGCAGCAGCAGATAGAGGCAAGGATGTGGAGTTGGATCATACATAACGAGGCGGGAGGAGCACGACCTTCACGGACAGCAGCTGCCGCAAGAAGAGGTGGCCCACGAATTTCATGTTCGCCCGCATACGGTCGCGGCGTTGCTTCCGCAGGCGGGCGAGCTCCTCCTCCCGCGAGGACGCACCCCCCAAGTCTTGGGAGGAGACAGCGAGCAGCCGAAATCGGACGAGAGTCTAGGGAAGAAGGACGAGGACGGAAGAGCGAACGCTGGGATCGTGCGCGCTCCGCCAGGGAGACCGCCCGTGCCCATCAGGAGCGCATGGCGCGGAGGCCGTGGCTTCGAAAGTACGCGACGGGGAAGGGGGCGTGGGGGCAAGAAGAACAGGGGAAGGAGGAACGTGGAGGAAGAGGGGCAGGGGAGGGGAAGGGAGGAGGAGGAGGAAGAGGGTAAGAAGGAGGAGGAGGAGGAGGCAAGGAGGAGGAAGAGGAGGAAGAGGAGGAGGAGGAGAAGAGGAGGAGGAGGAGGAGGAGGAGGAGGAGAACGGGAAGGGAGGCCTGCGGCCGCGCATCCTCCCGTGGGGAGGGGGGGCCCGCGGAGAGGGGGGTCCGAGAGCCTTTGCCACTCGACGCCGAGGGATGGGATCTCCACGCCTTCCGCCCCCGGGTGGAAACCCTCGCTCCTCCTCCTCCTCCTCCTCGTCTGCGTTTCCTCCTCCTCCTCCTCCTCCTCCTCCTCCTTCTCCTCCTCCTCCTCCTCCTTCTCCTCCTCCTCCTCCTCCTCCTCCTCCTCCTCCTCCTCCTCCTCCATCCCTGTTCGTTACACACAATTCCTCCCTGTCGCACCCCCAGAGGTGTCGGTAGGGCGGGCCCGGCGTTTCGCCCGAGGCTTGCTCACCAGCCTGCGGCAGCTTCAGGGATGGAGGGCGGAGGGTCTTCGAAATGTGGGCTCTCGCCTCGACGCCGCGAAGACTTGACTTGAAAGTTTTTGCAGCAGGTTCAGGGATGGAGAGCGGCTCGTTCTAAAGATGTGGCTCTCGACTCAGCGGCGCGCACATTCATCCTCAATTGCTGCAGCACCTTCCGGGAGCCGTGCACTTGAAGACCCAGGACCGTTGTGCTGCCAGGGCGCAGCAGCCACACTGATTCGCGACGCTGATGTCCCAAGGACGGTGCTCTGGCACGGTTTAGAATTATCAGACGGTTGTCTTCCGATAAGGCACTTCCCACAATGAAGATAAACTCTTATAGGGACCTATCGAGTGAAGAAGGGTTCATTGCAACATTGTTGGTGCGTCTTGGGTTTACACGTGTCCTCCTCCTCCTCGTCCTTCTTCTTCTTCTGCTCCTCCTCCTTCTCCTCCTTCTCCTCCGCCTCCTCCTTCACAGGTGGATGGGGGGAACCAGCCTGGTGGGGCAACGTTCCGCTCTCCTCCCGCCCAATCTGCGAAGGGGTGGTACAACCCCGATGCCGCCAAACTCAGCTGAAGCTGGCAGCAGCAACGTACCAGGGAACCCAAAACTCTTCATTCGACGCGCGGGTCCTCCTACTCCTCGTCCTCCTCCGTGGGCGGCCCAGGCAGCGACCGACCATGGGCCACGCTGCCGGGAATCATTTCCGGGAGCTTCGTAAAGCCATGATCAGCGGCAAAACAAAAACGAACGGGGATTTTCTGGCCTTGGCTGGCCTCGGGGAGGAGCAGGCCCCCCGACCTGGAACTAAGGGGGCGGCCGAGAACCATGTGGCCTCCCCCGTCCCCAGAGGTCACTGTGGTCACCGTCTCGGCTGCAGGGCAAGGAGGGAAGAGAGAGAGAGAGAGAAAGAGAGAGAGAGAGGGGAGAGGACAAGCTGGGTGCGCGCGCGCGCCCTATCTGACATCCTACCCCTCCCGCCCATCCCTTCCCATTGCGTCGATGTTGTTCTATCCGCCGAAGGGTGTCGTAGAGGACGTGGAACCCCCCAAGAGACACCATCGATTCATGCGCAATCAGATCGGGAAAATCGGCGTGCAGATTCACGGCCTGGGTGGCCGCGGAGAGCGCCGTGGAGATCTTGGCCCAGATTGCGACGGGAATCCGGTTGGAGATTTTGCCCTGGATCAATGCGCAGGAATCGTGGTATTTTTCACCCACGATCGCCCTCGAGATCGCCCAAGAGATTGTGGTTTGGCCGGGTTGCCGTGACGGTTTCCCGCTTTGTTCGCAGCGGGGAGCGCCGTGGAGACTTCAGACTGGATCGCGGCGGGGGTCGCTGTGAAGACTTTGATTTCGGTCGCGGCGGAGGATGGCGTGGAGAATTTGGCCTGGATCGCGTCGGATATCGCGGTGACTATCTGTTGGGAATGACGAGGAGAATTGGGCTTGGGCTTGGACCAGAGCGGAAAGTGCCGTGGAAATGTTGGCCGACATCGCGGGGAGATTCGCCGTGATGGCGTTTGTCTGGATAGCAGCGGAGACCGCCGTCGAGATCTTGACCTGGATCGCAGCGAAGATCACGGTGGAACTTTGGGTACGTTATCAGGGAGAGCTACGGAGGTCGCCGTGGAGATTTCGGCCAGGATCGCAACAGAAATAAGGGTGGAGATGTTGGCCTCGATAGCTGCGCAGACTGTCGTGAACTTTTTTCACCTATGATCGCCGTGGAGATCGACGTCGAGATCGCCCCGGAGATTGTGGCTTGGCTGGGTCGCCGTGACGGTTTATCGCTTGGCTCGCAGCGGGGAGCGCCGTGGGAAATTTTGGACTGGATCGCGGCGGGGGTCGCCGTGAAGACTTTGAGTCGGCTCGCGGCGGAGCGCGCCCCGGCACCCTCACTTTCTGGGACGTATGTCTCTGAAACCCTCCAACTGGAATTCTCGCCCCGAACCCACTCTGACCCCCCCCCCCCAGGCACCTTCACCCTCTGGGACCTGTGTCCTTGAGGCGTCCCAACATGCAGTGCCTTGCCTGGAACCAACCCGGACCCTCACAACGCCCCGGCACCCTCACCCTCTCTGACGTGTATTGTTCAGACCTCCTCCTCCTCCTCCTCCTCCTCCTCCTCCTCCTCCTCCTTTTCTTGGGCAAGCTACGAGGCACCAACCTGTGGCGTATGCCTCCTCCTCCTCCTCCTCCTCCTCCTCCTCCTCCTCCTCCTATAAACCTACCTATACTCGCCCAGAACCGACCCCGACCCACCGCGCCGCGGTGCTACACCCACTGGCAACTCTATTTTGGGCATCCCCACCCAGTGGAATTGTGTTTTCGGGACGCCCCAACCCCACCATGTGGGCCCCCCAAACATACACCACATACACCATCACCACCACCACGTCGATTCCTCCTCCCTCCGCCACCCTCGCCTTCCTCTCCTCTTTCCTGGGAGAGCGAAGGGATGAGGGAGGTGGTGGTGGTGGTGTTGGTAGTGGTGGTGTATACTTCTGGGCCCCGTGCACCATTCCTAGCCCCGAATCCACCCTGACCCACACCGATGCACTACTGCGATTGACCCCCCTTCCGAGATGATCTAGCAGGCTAGTCACAATTTCGAAGCCATTTCGGTATGCTCTCCGTCCGTAGCGCTGGTCGCAGATTTCCCGGATTCGGCAAACTAATTGCTTCCCTTCCTCGAGGCCGAAACATCAAGGTCGATACAAAATTATCCCGGCAAAGCAATCTAACAGCGATGTGTAGGAGCCTATCTGGAAGCATTCCCCTTAAAATTCAGATGAGAATCCAGTTGTAGAATTCAGCTGTTCTCGCAGTCGTAGTCGCACTCGCGATGACGGTCGCAGTGGCAACGGCAGTCGCTGTCACAGCCTCAGCCTCAGCCTGCCTCAGCCTCAGCCTCAGCCAGCCTCAGCCCCAGCCTCAGCCTCAGCCTCAGCCTCAGCCTGCTTCAGCCTCAGCCTCAGTCTGCCTTCAGCCTCGGCCTCAGCCTCAGCCTGCCTCAGCCTCACCCTGCATCAGCCTCAGCCTCAGCCTCAGCCTGCCTCGGCATCAGCCTGCCTCAGCCTCAGCCTCAGCCTGCTTCAGCCTCAGCCTCGGCCTCAGCCTCAGCCTGCCTCAGCCTCAGCCTGCATCAGCCTCAGCCTCAGCCTCAGCCTCAGCCTGCCTCAGCCTCAGCCTCAGCCTCAGCCTCAGCCTCAGCCTCAGCCTCAGCCTCAGCCTCAGCCTCAGCCTGCCTCAGCCTCAGCCCTCAGCCTCAGCCTCAGCCTGCCTCAGCCTCAGCCTCAGCCTGCTTCAGCCTCAGCCTCAGTCTGCCTTCAGCCTCGGCCTCAGCCTCAGCCTGCCTCAGCCTCAGCCTGCATCAGCCTCAGCCTCAGCCTCAGCCTGCCTCAGCATCAGCCTGCCTCAGCCTCAGCCTCAGCCTGCCTCAGCCTCAGCCTCAGCCTGCTTCAGCCTCAGCCTCAGTCTGCCTTCAGCCTCGGCCTCAGCCTCCTGCCTCAGCCTCAGCCTGCATCAGCCTCAGCCTCAGCCTCAGCCTGCCTCAGCATCAGCCTGCCTCAGCCTCAGCCTCAGCCTGCCTCAGCCTCAGCCTCAGCCTGCCTCAGCCTCAGCCTCAGTCTGCCTTCAGCCTCAGCCTCAGCCTCAGCCTGCCTCAGCCTCAGCCTGCATCAGCCTCAGCCTCAGCTCAGCCTGCCTCAGCCTCAGCCTGCCTCAGCCTCAGCCTCAGCCTGCCTCAGCCTCAGCCTCAGCCTGCTTCAGCCTCAGCCTCAGTCTGCCTTCAGCCTCGGCCTCAGCCTCAGCCTGCCTCAGCCTCAGCCTGCATCAGCCTCAGCCTCAGCCTCAGCCTGCCTCAGCATCAGCCTGCCTCAGCCTCAGCCTCAGCCTGCCTCAGCCTCAGCCTCAGCCTGCTTCAGCCTCAGCCTCAGTCTGCCTTCAGCCTCGGCCTCAGCCTCAGCCTGCCTCAGCCTCAGCCTGCATCAGCCTCAGCCTCAGCCTCAGCCTGCCTCAGCCTCAGCCTCAGCCTCAGCCTCAGCCTCAGCCTGCCTCAGCCTCAGCCTCAGCCTGCTTCAGCCTCAGCCTCAGTCTGCCTTCAGCCTCGGCCTCAGCCTCAGCCTGCCTCAGCCTCAGCCTGCATCAGCCTCAGCCTCAGCCTCAGCCTGCCTCAGCATCAGCCTGCCTCAGCCTCAGCCTCAGCCTGCCTCAGCCTCAGCCTCAGCCTGCTTCAGCCTCAGCCTCAGTCTGCCTTCAGCCTCGGCCTCAGCCTCAGCCTGCCTCAGCCTCAGCCTGCCTCAGCCTCTGCATCAGCCTGCCTCAGCATTCAAAATGTGGCCCAGGAATGGAGTGCTGGGAACTCGAAGAACACGAAGTGGCCTACAGTTGGCTCCGGGCATTCAAAATCATGCCTTGGAATTGAATGTTGGGCACTCGAAGACCACGAAGTGGCCTACAGTTGGCTCCGGGCATTCAAAATCATGCCCAGGAATGGAGTTCTGGGACCTCGAAGACCACGAAGTGGCCTACAGTTGGCTCCGGGCATTCAAAACCATGCCCAAGAATTGAGTTCTGGGAGCTCGAAGAACACGAAGTGGCCTACGGTTGGCTCTGGGCATTCAAAATCATGCCCAGGAATGGAGTTCTGGGAACTCGAAGACCACGAAGTGCGTTACTGTTGGCTAAAAAAAAAGCCCCCGGCATCCTCCCCCGGATCGCGCCCAGACCCCCCTGGGGCGTCAAGATGCCCTCTTCTGACCCTACAAGAAACCTATCAGTCTTCGCTGTTAGGTAAAAATGCTCCCCCCGCGCCCGAGCATCCACGCCCTAGGACCCCCAGACTGCAACTTCTCGCCTGGAACTGGCCCAGACCCCATCGCGCCCCACGACTGTCCCGGGCCGCGGTGCTCGCCCTTTCCCCGTGCCGCCTATCTCCTTGGTCTGCCCTGCCCACGACTGTCCCTGGCGCTCTGGTTAGGCAACCACATGTAAATCATACGGTAAGGGCAGTGGATAAAGAACCATTGAATCAGGAATCCAGGGTCTGAAAACCTGGTGGAGCACCAGCACCACTTGAGGTTTGCCCATGGATATCACCGCCGCCATCATCAGACTAGGAACCCCCCAGGGTCAGAAGATTCCTGGGCACATTCCTCAACCAACGCCCCCACCGTACCCCTGCGGGTTATATCGGAGGTTGGGGGGTGAGATCGAAGTGGAACGGAGAGCCCCCCTACCGGGAAATCGATTTCGGTTTCGTGTTCGTGCGTGCCGTGCGGGCGAGGCGAAGCTGCGTGGGCGGGCGAGAGAAAATCTCCTGTGGCTGAGGCGCGGCCGGACCAAATGATTCCCTTCCGGGCGGCCGGGGCCCCGCGGTGTCCCGCCGGTGTCCCGCTGGTGTCCCATGTGGCGGAGGCGCGGCCGGACCAAATGATTCCCTTCCGCGCGGCCGGGGCCCCGCGGTGTCCCGCTGGTGTCCCGCTGGTGTCCCGCGGTGTCCCGCGGTGTCCCGCGGTGTCCCGCGGTGTCCCGCCGGTGTCCCGCGGTGTCCCGCGATGATGATGATGATGATGATGATGATGATGATGATGATGATGATGATGATGATGATGATGATCATGATGATGATGATGATGATGATGATGATGATGATGGCATGATGATGGTGTCCCGATGAAGATGATGATGATGTTGATGATGGTGTCGATGATGATGATGATAGTGTCCCGATGATGATGATGATGAGGATGATGATTCCGATGATGTTGGTGATGATGATGTTGATGGAAATGGTGTCCCGGCGATAATGACGCTGATGATGATGATGATGATGATGATGATGTTGATGATGCTTATGGTGTCCCGATGATGATGCTGATGATGATAATGGTGATGATGATGATGATGGTGATGTTGATGGTGTCCCGATTATGAGAATAATGATAATGACGATGTTGATGATGATGTTGCTCATGCTGATGATGGTGCCCCAATGATGATGATGTTGTTGATGATGATGATGTCGATGATGATGCGACGATCATGATGATGATGGTGTCCCGAGGATGATGACGATGTTGATGATAATGTTGATGATGAGAGCGATGGTGATCATGATGGTGTCCCGACTATGATGATGATTCTGATGATGCCGCTGATGATGATGACGATGACTGCGTCCCGATGATGATGATGCTGATGATGAGATGATGATGGTGATGATGATGCTTCCCGCTGGTGATGATGACGTTGATGATGATGTTTATGATGATGCTGATGACGGTGCCCTCATGATGATGACGATGTTGGTGATGATGTTAATGTTGATAATGTTGATGATGATGATGATGATGATGATGATGACGTTGATTGTGAGAGCGATTGTGATATCGATAGTGATATCGATATTGAGATCGAATGTGAGATCGATTGTGTGATCGATTGCGAGATCGATTGTGAGATGAATTGTGAGATCGATCGAATGAGATAGATCGAGTGAGATCGATTGTGAGATCGATCGAGTGAGATCGATCGAGCGAGACCGATAGTGAGATCGATACTGAGATCGATAGTGAGACCGATCGAGTGAGACGTTGGTCCCCCCCCCCGAACCTCCTTATCACCCGAAGGGCGGTCGTATAGGTATCTGAGAAACTGGCTGGGGTGCAGAATTTGAAGGATGTCTGCAGCCAAATGAACCCCAGCGGGGGTGTCTGATACCCCAGCCCTGTAGGGGTAGGGTTCGCAAGTGGTCGCAGACTGGTGATTGCCTTCCGCCGCAGCCTCGTTCCATCCTTCGGCCCTGCCCCCTGGCTGTCACCCTCCACGCTTTTCAGAAGCCACCCACAGGCCCGAAATAGGGCTCCACCTGTTAGGGAGACATCATAACCCACCCATGCCCCCAGCCAGCCCCCGCCCCTTCCCGAAGTGGAAATGCTTTTCTGAAGATTCTTGGGGCGAAAAAGAAGCCCCTCCCCCAGCCAGAACCCCCACGATCACCAGGTCAGGAAAGGACGGGGCCTGGCGGAGGGTATGGGTGGGTTGTGTTGTCCTCGCTGTGGTCCTGCAATCACCAGTGCGTGCGCCAGCCGTGCTGCATCTACGTCTGGCGCCCGCGCTTGCCACACGAATAGCTGGAACGAGACAGCGCATCTTGCAAACACGGCTGCGGATCGTGGAGGTGAAGGATGAGGGCAAGGCAGAAAAGGATAACGACGAGGACGAGGGCGGAAGCGGCGGCAGGAGGGCGAACTAGGAAGGAAGAACTAAGAGGTGGACCAGGAGCACGAGCAGGAAGATAATGATGCGGGCGCGTGGCTATGAGAAAGACAGCTATCGTGTTGGGAGGAGGAGGAGGTTGGGAAGATACAGAGCGCGACTGTGTAGTAATAAACACATTCAACATAGGCGATTCTACGGATGATTTCATCATTTCTCCCAGCCCCATCCTCCCAACGCGTTACCTGTCTTTCTGAGACTATGGATGGGGTGGACCCCCCATCGCTGGACCAAGGCCAGTCTTCTCTGCACGAGGGCGATAGGCGCTCCCGCAGAGGGGAAGACGTACGCGACATGGACGATTGCTCTCTGATCCCGCCCGGTTGCAATTCGGCGCGCCAATGCTTCCGCCTGCGAGTCCTCATATCGCACCTTCCCCCCCCAAACTGGGTGAGGAAGAGGGAGGAGGAGGAGGAGGAAACGGAGGAGGAGGAGGAGGAGTTCCCTCGCTTGCCCGAGAATCCTGCACAACCTGCGGTGCCGCTGGAAAGCACGAGGTCCCCTCTCCTAAGGACCACCTCCTCGTCCGGGCGAGGCGGAGCATCCGGAGGTCGCTGGAGGCCTCTCGAGGTCTCGCGGCAGATGGAGATCAGAAAACATGAGATCTTGCAAGATCGGCCCCAAACGAGGGGGGGAATTGAGAAGGGGCGGGCCTTCTCGGAAGGCTCGGAACTCCCCCGGCCTTCTGAGAAGTTTTCCAAACCTTTCTTGAAGACGCAGAAAACTTCTCAGAAGGCGCGAGGACTTCAGAGAAATCCCGCCGCCTTTTGAGAAGGCCTTCTCC